CAGGCCGCTTGACGAGGAGGCGCGTGGCATGACTTGGTTTTGCCTGGAAGCGCAAGCGGGGTAGGTAATTCACGCTCTGAATGGGGTCGGAGCAGATGGGGTCGAAGGATCGCGCCGCATCGCCGATACATCGGCGATGCATCGGGAATGCATCGGCCATGCATCGGCGATGCGAGGGCGATGTGTCGTCGACGTGGGCGACGCATCGGCGACGTCGGCGTGAAGGAAATAGGGATCCACATCGAGCCGCATCGGCGATGCATCGGCGATGCGGCGCGATCTTCCGACCCCATCTACTCGGACCCCATCTAGGAGGCCTAGACTGCTGCGCTTCGAGGAGCACTACGGAGGGGCGGGAGGAGGAGCGGGCAAGCTCGTGCGCGACCAACAGGTGCATCCAGATCTGTGCCCTGGCGGCCTGGATACCGAGGCACGGCCGCGGGGCATCTGGGCAAAAGCCGCCCCGTATCCGCGGGGTCGCGGCCGAGGACCTGCTTACCGTCCACGAGAAGGAGAGCGTTTTTTTGTTATTCGGCGTTTCGACATTGGGCGAAGGGGGGGGGAGAGGGGGGATTCTGGCTCCAGACCACTGCTTAGTACAACTGTCTGCAGGAGTGCTGCCTCTGGGGGAGACCCCACCCGCTCGAGACAGGCGCCGAGACACAGCCAAGATCTAGTCCATTTGGGAGAGGGGGGGGGGGTTAAAGGGGCCCTGGGACACACAAATAAATACACACAGATAAAACGATTCCCCATAGTTTCCCATATTTTCTGGGTTTTTGTCTTCCCCACCACTTCCCATATTTTCCCATACTTTCTGGGGAGTCGACGATGAATTGCGTCTGTGTGTTTCTTCCCCTCCTGAATTTTTTGGGGGCCCGCGCCGATCGGCAACACGGCGCCTTAAAAACGATCGCAAGCGGGCCCTGGATCTTTTCAAGGTGCCGGGCTCCCGGGCCGCTCCTCGGGGGCTGGGGCCGTCAGACAGCGGGCGGCATGGCCAGCCAATCTTCCGCTGAGGTCGGGCCTGTCCCCCTACAAGGGGATCTTGGGCGAGATTTGTATTTTTATATATATATATATATATATATAAAAAAAAAGAACATGCACCCAACATGCTCAAAAATAGTCAAACGATAGTCCCCAGACTATTGTTTTACTATTTGAATGCCCCTCCCGTAGAGAGGGACAGGCCCGACTCGATCTTAAGGGGAAGTCCCAGGGCCCAGTGCCTGTTTCCCTCGGAGCACCCGCCCTGCCCTGGTTATGACAACACAGAGGAGGTCGTTGTGATGCAAGGGGGATCGAGGTTCGAAGCCAAGAGGCCTCTCATAAGAACGAGGGGGCCGATCGGTCTTGCACATTTCCTGGGTGCGCGGCCGCAGTGGGACTCCGCGGCGCGGGTGTTTCTTGTTTGTTGTTGTTGTCGTTGTTGTTGTTGCTGTCGTTGTTGTCGTTGTCGTTGTTGTTGTTGTTGTGGTTGTGGTCGGTGTAATAGCTGTGGTTGTGTTTGTGGTTGTTATTGTTGTGGTGGTTGTTGTCGCTGTTGCTGTTGCTGTTGCTGCTGCTGCTGCTGCTGTTGTTGTTGTTGTTGAACATTATTTCTTCTTAAGAATAATTATTGTTGGGGCCCCTGGTGCACGACCCCCCCGCCGCGCCTAGGCCGCAGCCTCATTTTCATCATTTTCGTGAGGAAGTCTCAGGCAAAACGGGGGAGTCCGGATCCGGTTGTGTTGTTACGATCGGTTTTCCCTTGCAAGCAATAAGCTAAAGTGGACATTTCTTGTTCTAACATAACCAAACTTCAAGAATCCCTTGCAAAAAAAGGTAAAGTGGACATTCGCGCGCGCAAGACGAAATCCTTCCAAAACCTTAGTTTTCGTAGCGATTTTAACATAAAACATCAAAAAACCAATGGTTGTTCAAAAAAAAAAAAAATTTCATCCCGCGCGCTCTTGCGGATTCGTAGGAAACCCAACACTTTTTTAATCATTTCTGTCAAACGGGCTTTTGCGAGCAACTTTTTCGAACTTCTGCAGCAACGGTTGCGCACCTGCCAGGGCCATCATCCCTGTCAAATAATACCATGCGGGACACATTCGTTTTTTCTTCGCGCGCGCCGCCGTCGTCGTCGGCCGCGGGGCCCTGAATAGTAGCCACGGTCGTCCGCATGCCACGAAGTGAAGTGTCCGAACGTCATAGGGCGGGAAGCTGGGTGTGGGTGGTGGCGAAGAGTCGTTTGGAAATTTGGTAGAGCTTGAACCGGCCCCCCCACAAAGTGGGGGTATTGCCAGCCTCCTATGAAAACCCTGGCACTGGTGAGAATGGTGTGTCCTCACGTGCTAGTAATTGTTGTTGTTGTTGTTGTTGTTGTTGTTGTTGTTGTTTGTGTTGTTGTTTTTGTTGTTGTTTGTGTTGTTGTTTGTGTTGTTGTCGTCCTCGTCCTCGCCCGCGACCCGCTCGCGACCCACCCATGACCCACCCGCGGCCCACCCCGCGACCCACCCACATTGCTTTGACGAAAATTCGGCGCCTGCGGCGAGCTTCTTCAGAGCCTCGCAGACTGCCGACGACCCCTTCGCCCCCTTACCCTAATCCGCAGCTGTGGGAGACATGGTAAATATAGACGCGCGCAAACACACACGCACACACGCCCACACACACACACACACACACGCACACGCACACGCACACGCACACGCACACGCACACGCACACACAACACATACACAACACACAACACACAACACACAACACACAACAGACAACAGACAACAGACAACAGACAACACACAACAGACACACACACCCCTCTGTCCCTCTCTTGCGATGTCTTCAGGTTGTGTGGACATACGTTCAAAGTCGTGCCACTGCCACACGGATACAGCGCGGGCGCGGCAGCAAGAAACCCTCGCAAGAAAACTAACCCTGAGGACCCGTGCGCGGGGTACACCCGAAGGGAAACCAGGAGCACCCTGAACGCAGCAGCTCCTTCAACGGCTGCGGGAAGCCACCGCGCAGCGCGAGGAGCAAAGAAACCCAGGATACCCTGACGAAGAGCATCTGGTTTCTTGATGCGCGCTCCCACTGTAGACGGCCGTCCATTCTCAAGATGGTGTAATCGCTTGGCCCATCTGAAATTATGACCAGACGTATCAACTTGTGAAGTCGTCACACGGGCGGAGGGCGGCTGCCTTTAACAAAAGCGGCTATCGCTGGACTCGGGAAACAAATAATGACATAAACATAAAAACTCGGAGGTCCGCGCGGATTCCTCGGAGCGGCGCTGGAGCCCTCCTGGCGACGCCTCCGACGCCGACCCCGGCGCGCTCCGCGCGCCAGGGAGGAGTCCGGCGCGGATCCGAGGAATCTGTGCAGACCTCCGAGTCTTCTCATGCTCATGTCAGTGTTTGGTCCATGGACACTGTAGACACCGTATCGCCGATACATCGGCGATGCATCGGCGATGCATCGGCGATGCATCGGCGATGCACCGGCGATGCATCGTCGACGCCGGCGCTTCATCGGCGACGCCGGCGCGAAGAGCATCGGGCCCCGCATCGAGCCGCATCGTCGATGCATCGGCGATGCGACGCGATCCTCCGACCCCATCTGCTCGGACCCCATCTAGAAGGCCTAGACACTGCCTTGTCTTGGATGCTCGTTCTGGGGACCTTCCTGGAGCCACTCGCTCCACTCGTGCGTCGAAGCTGCGTCGAACGTCAGTCGAGTTGGGTCGACCCTGAGTCGAACCTGAGTCGAACCTGAGTCGAACTTGAGTCGAACTTGAGTCGAACTTGAGTCGAACTGGGGTCGAACGGATCCGTTAGGTGGGCTCCAGGAAGGTCCCCGAAACGAGCATCGAACTTGTCCCTTCCGATCTCTCCCTTTGGCAGCTCTCGAGGCCCGACGCCGAGGGAGGCCCAGTCCGTTTCCGGCGGGGCTCCGACACACACCTGCACGGCAGACCCCCGAACGGGGCGCCGGTCTCTCCAGGGAGCGACGCCGCGGTGGCACCATGGGTCGGACCCCCTCCTCAGGGGAGGCTCCCCTGACCTTCCAGGAGGGCTAAAAAATAGCTCGCGACTAAAAAACCTATCCCAGAGCTATTCTACGTCTTGGCTTTAGGCTGTCTCGTTTCGTTTTTTGGGTTTTTAGGCCTCCCGTGCTAAAAAATAGCTCTCTGGAAGGTCAGGGTCCTCGGCTCCCTCGTTGGACACCTTTGGAGGCCACCCACCTGGGGCCGGAGCAGACGGGGTCGGAGCATCGCAACGCGTCGCCGACGCATCGGCGACGTCGGGTGGGACAAGTCGGGCTCCAGACTTCGCAGAGTCCACGCGTGGGCGATGCGGCGCGGTCCTCCGCACCCGTCTGCGGCAAGTTCGTGTCGTGGCGACCCCGGCGGATCGTTCCAGCTTCCACGCCCGGAGGCTTCTTTATCGCCAGAGCGTTCCATGCTGACCGCTTCTAGGCCTCCGACGGCATTCAACCTTGAACGCCCGCGCTGGGGGCCGCTGCCGCGTCGGCACGACGCGACCCTGCCGCACCCTGGCCTCATTTGGGCCGCCTGGAGCAGTCCCCTCGCTCGGTCACCTCCTGCTCTCTCAGGGCACCTGACCCCCAGGCGTCGCGAACAAGGCTCGCGACGGGCATCTGGACACCGTTTCTCGGCGCCACAGGGCAATCAAAAAGCACACCGCGGCGAAAAGGAAAACGCATGCGAACGCTGGCATCTGGGCCTTCGGTGGGCAAGGCGTGTAAGGGGTGTGCCGAAGTGATGGAAGTGACGGGAGGAGGAGGAGGAGGGGGAGGCGGAGGCGGGGGAGACGCGGGGATCTCTCTTCATAACGAGGACCCACCACCACAGGGTTGGGAAAAATAATCTGGAAATGGGGTCGAGGGCTGTGGGGGTCTTCGAGCCATGCAAAAAGAAGCGCGGCGTCGCAGGTCTGGGTCCCTCTGAGAGACCCTCCTCGGAATGAGCCCGATCCGACGCCCGCCGTCGTCATGATGCGAGGGACCGCCATGGCAGGGAACCGCCACCATCTGACAATTGGCTGACATGTTCACGAGGGCGCGGCGTCACGCACTTTGAGGGTAGCAGGCCGGGCGAATGCTGGACGCGAGGCGGCACGACAAAGGGCCGCGACTGGGGATAGTAAGCAATGGTACCACTCAAAAAAAGAGTCGGGACAATACCGTGAAGATGACGTGCAAGCCACATGCTACCTGCACACTGCTGCGTGTGATATCACGGGGCCCTTCAGGAGCGCGTCAAGTGGCATCATTTCCAAGCAATTGGACTGTGGTGTCCATATCATGGTGAAGAGCATGCATGCGTGTGATATAATCCGCTGAACGGCGATGACGAGACAACGCAACGATATGACGACCAGACACCTGAAGTGTCACACACACACACACGACGACGCAACACAGTAAGCTCTGGGGCGCAGGTGAGAGATGCATCAGCACATGCGTTGCTGCAGGTCGTGCCAAAAGTCAGAGGAAGAAACCAAGACATGAGTGCATCTCAACTTACCAATGTTCAGTCGGGCCTGCCCCTCTGTAGGGGGCAAACTCAAAAATAGTTAGAAAATAGCCTGGGGACGATCTGTTGGTAACTTTTCACTTTTCGCCCAAAACCTCCCTGTAGGGGCACATGCCCGACCTGATACCAGTGGCAGGAACGCCAGGACAGAGAACATGATGGGTCTGCCTTCCACCACCACCGCCATAAGTTGGAGTGCGGGAGGAGGAGTAGGAGGACGAGGAGGAGGGGGAAGAGGAGGAGGAGGACGAGGAGGAGGGGGACGAGGAGGAGAAGGAGGAGGAGGACGAGGAGGAGGAGGAAGAGGATCCCCTCCCCCTCCAACTCTTGGTGGTGGTGGTGGAAAACACGCCTATATCAGAACAGGGCCGCCGTGTCGTCTTGCACCGCCGCGGGGCGCTGTGCTCCCCTCGCGCGGTCCAGCCTGGCCTCTGCAGCCTCGCAACGGCGCGCCCCGGCAGTCACTGCGCCGTGCGCGGCTCGACGACGCGCCGGCGGAGACTGCCAACTACACCATGGGAGAGAGAGGGAGAGAGAGACAGAGATAGAGAGAGAGAGAGAGAGAAAACAAAAAAAAGGAGAAGGGGCGGTGAAGGATGAACCATGAGAAGGAGGAGCGGAGGGCCTCCTCCCGCCCCCCTCTGCCTTTCCTCCTTCTCTCTCCGCCTCCGCCTCCGCCTTCTCCGCCTCCTCCTCCTCCTCCTCCTCCTCCTCCTCCTCCTCTCCCTCCACCTCCTACTCCCCTCAGGAGGCCTCCGGAGGGGCCGCGAGGGCTCCAGATGCCCAATCAAGGCAAGCAACGCTCCAAAGCCTCGATCCTCACCCTCCTCATCCGTCGCCCTACACTGCTCCTCCTCCTCCTCCTCTTCTTCCTCCTCCTCCTCCTCCTCCTCCTCCTCCTCCCCTTCCTCCTCTGTCTCCGCCGCCCTACGCAAATCCCTCCTCCTACACAACATCTCCTCTCGTCCTCCCCCTCCATGGGAAGAAGAGAGACAATCCCGTGATCGCGGCCGCGTTCACCGTATACGACGTCCCGCGCACGCGGAGGCAGCGATCGGAGTCGGAAGGGAGGGGGCTCGCGCAACGCGCTCCTAGGACCTACTGAGCAGCCTCACGCCGCCGCCTAGCGATGGCCCCCCCGCCCCTCCGTCAGGTCGTGGGTCGAGAGTAGGCAGGAGGGAGGAGGGGAAAGAGGAAGACCACTTGCAAACCCAAGACGGATCAACGATGTTGCAATAAACCCTCCCTCCGAGGCTCCTCTTCAGAATTCCGTGCAACTCGGGGATGGACAGACACCCCTTTAGTAAAACGTGGTTTAGTGAAAACGACCTGAGGCCCAAACCTGGCGGGCGCGTGCCTGGAAAATAACGGCCACGGCGCCCTCTCGAGAACCGAAAACGGACAATTCACTAATCGACGTGTCACTGTTGGGGGTTCTGTCCACCCCCGAGCAACTTCTCCAAAAGTAAAATGCATCGCCAGGACAAATCACAAAAAAACGCAAAACAACACATTGATTTGATCTATTTGAGCGGGTTCGGGTACCCTTTGAATTTCAAGTCGTTCCACAACACCATTCCTGGGACTTCGCCGCCGCGAATCAACATGACTGTTACGTCCTGTCAATCAGAAGATTTTGTTGGAACGCATTTCCTGCGGCTTCGACACAACCAAATCCTTTTGGACGCCCGGAATAGGTACGAAAAAATGGGCACAATGTCCAACAACAGATGTTGTCCCAAACCAACAGCGGCCGCTGTTGGGCGGGTGGCCTTCTGTCTCAAATCAACACCGTGCGCGGCGAGACCGACAGCGAGTCCTGTTCAAAACGACCAAGAACTGCAGTCAATCTTTGTACTCATTCTTTCCGTACCCATTTCGATCCTCTCGAATCCTGAACAGCATCATGACACCATTCCCAGGAGGACGAACCCTTGAACATGAGGTACGCTTTTGGGGCGAACATGCGCGGCGCTGAAGCGAGAGCTGCAATCTGATAAGGAAACCGCCTTCATCCTTGAATGTGCTATCTTTTTTTGAGCTTAGGTCGGGCGCGTCGTCCTACAAGGGGATTTTGGACGCAAGATCGGAGGATGGGGGGTGAGATCGCAGTGAAAGGTAGACCCCCCACTTGGAAATCGGTTTCGGTTTCGTGTTCGTGTCGTGCGTGCGAGGCGAAGCTGCGCGTGATCCTCCTGTAGCTAGGCCGAAGTAGGAGCGAAAGTCCGTGCGCCCGTCCGCCGGTGGCCGGTTGGGCCGGGGGGTGTCCCGGGTGTCCTGGGTGTCAGTAGGAGCGAACGTCCGTTTACCGTCCGCCGGTGGCCGGGAGGTGTCCCAGTTGGGCCTGGCGGTGTCCCGGGTGTCCCGGGCGTCCCGGCGCTAACGCATGTCTCTAATTTCATAATTCATTGTTTTCGGCGCCTGCGGCGGGCTTTCTTACCCAATCCATCTTATCTTATCCAATCCATCTTGTCCAAACCAACTCATCTTATCTCATCCAACCCAAATTGTCCCATCTTATCTTATCCGATCCAATCCAATCCACCCAGCCCAATCCATCAATTCATTTGTTTCTGCGCCTGCGGCGGGCCAATCCAATCCATCTTATCTTATCCAATACATCTCTTTCAATCCACCCATCTTATTTCATCCAATTCATCTTATCCCATCAAATCCAATCCACCCAAACCAATCCATCAGTTCATTTTTGATCTCAATCCCCCCCACACCTCTTTATCGCCCGCAGGGCGGTTGTATAGGTATATATACCAAAAAAACAATCAAACCTTGTCATACTTAATGGAATTCGTCCCCAGACTATTTATAGGCTAGTTTTGAATATTCCTCCTCTAGAGGGACAGGCCCGACTCAAATTTAAGCAACAAATGCGCGCGGCCCTGAGGCGAGAGCAACATTTTCCCCTCCCCCCCTTCATCCTTGAACCTGTTGCAGATTTCAAGGTTCAGGGTCACAACCGTTGAAGAAGTCTGAGGCGAAAGGCCCGACCTGGCGTCTGGGGGTTCGACAGGGAGGAGATATCAGGTGCAAGGGAGGGGCGTGGAAGGGGAGGATGAGGGGAAAGAGGGGGGAGGTCGGAACGGGACGGGGAGAAGAGGGGGAGGAACAGGAGGAAGGGAAGGGGCAGGAGGGGAACGAGGACGAGGAGAGGGTGGAAGAGGGAATGGGACGAAGAGGAAGAGAGGGAGGGGGATGAGGCACCGGACGAACGGGGCGAGCACCGAGAAGGAGGGAAGAGAAGGGAGGATGCGAGAAGAGAGACGAGACGGAGAATCGCAGTGCTGACGGCGGAGCGGCGGAACAGGGAAGAGGGCACTCCGCCTCCCAGTGCTGCTCTGTCCTCCTTGCCGTCTTGCCCCGTTCGAGAGCGCAGGACGGGGCAGCCCACGCGGAGATGTCGGGCCGGACAGCCCCGCTGCGGGCAGGCGGGGTGGGTGGGGGGGCTGGCCCGCGGAGGGCACCGGGCAGCTCGAACGCAGGCGGGAGGAGGACAGGTTCGGATGAGGAGCAATGTGCACGGGCCCTGGGGCACACGGAGAAATACACACAGATCCAAAGATTCCCCATCTTGTCGAATGCTTCCTGGATGTTTCGTCTTCCCCCCAACTTCCCATATTTCCCCACGCTTCCCGCGGGGATCGAAGATTCTGATCCTGTCTGTGCGTCGTTCTCCCCCCCTGGCCATGAGGCGGATCGGGCGCCAATGGCCGTTCAGGAGCGTCACGGGACGCTCTGAGAACGTACAGGGCAGTTTTTAATGCATAGGACCGTAATGGGCGATGGACGCTTCGCTTATGGGGTGTTGAGATAAGGAGAAAATCGCCGTCAAGATGTGTTTGAACCCCTCCCAGATACGAGCCCTCAACATCATTTCGAAACGGTTTCTAAACCTCGGGGTGGGGGGCCGCCCTGACCGAATTATCCGAGACCAGATCCCGAGCAACATAGGCGGACGTGCGAAAGCACATTGACGTATCTCTCCCTGGTGCGGGGGTGAGTGGCAAGAGAGGACACACAGAAAATAAACAACATCATGAGTGATGTCAGCCGCGCGCACACGACACTTGCATGCACGCGCTCGCACGAACACAACACGAACGCCCTCCCCACGTCCGTGCACAAGCAAGGATGGATGACTTGAGGATTTGACGCCCCTGCAGCCTTGTCTTGCTCTGCGTGCTCCGTGCAGCAAGGTGCCACCGCGACAGCCCCGAACGGCGCCGCACCTCGCGGCCAAGAGGCCAACACCTCTCGACAAACCCTAAGCACTCAGATGTTCAATGCACTCTTGTATGCGGCAAGGACGTGCTCACCAAGGCAACTGGGGGTGAGTTTCACCTCGCGGATTGCAGACTGTACTTTGAGCATCGCCTCCCTGCGCGCGAAACGATCTGGGTACGCCCTGGAAACTTTCAGAACCGAAGCAACGAGAAGCCTAGTGGACACCATTTTCAACACACTCGGGAAATCAGAATCGTCGGCAGCCGTGCTGCCGTTGGCGTTCGCGGCCTCCTCGAAGACCTCATGGTCCTTCGAGGGGGGAACGCTTGAATCTGCAAAAGCATGAGGGTGGAGGAGGGGGAGGAAAGGGGGCCGAGGGAGGAGGAGGTGGGGGAGGATGAGGAAGTCCCGAACCTGAAAAAGGAGGAGGAGGAGGAGGAGGAGGAGGAGGAGGAGGAGAAGAGGGAGGAGGAGAGGGTGGAGAGAAGAGTCAGAGGAAGAGAGTCTCTGTAGCACAGGGGGGAGGTGGGGATAGTAGCAATCGGTTGCAGCAAAGGGGGTAGTGTGCCCATCCTCCCGTTCGTCATTCCTCCTCCTCATCCTCCTCCACCTCCTCCTCCTCCTCCTTTTCCTCCTCCCTCCTCCTCCTCCTCCTCATCCTCCTCCTCCTCATCCTCATCCTCATCCTCATCCTCCTCCTCCCTCCAGTGTTCACCTCGAGCCATGCCTTGATCATCTTGCGAATCGCAACGATCGAGGACTCGAAGCTGAACTCGTCGAGGTAGTCGCTGTTCTTGGTCATGGCGCCGTTCACTGTGTCGGTGGAAATGGCATCCATGAGCTGTTCCATGCCCACGTCGCGCACCATGGTGGTCAGAACGTCGCTGGAGGCCTTGGCGACCTTGCCAAGGAAGGCGACGTGGGCCTCAGCATGCCCCTTCAGGCACGACGTGAAGTCACCGCCGTAGGTCTGCAAGGTCTGGTCAGCGTCCTCAGGCAACAACTCCTTCACAGCGGGCTTCTCGAGCGAGACTCTGAACTTGTGCTCGGCCGTCTGGAGGTCCTGCAGACATCCAGCGAAGCTCTTCTGGAGGATCCTACTCTCGGGCTCAGCGCCCAACTTGCGAATCGTTTTCACGCAATCGCAGGTGGCCTTCCAAGCCGCCAGAACGGTCAGTACGGGCTTCCACTTCTCCGAAAGACCCGATGATTGGACGTGGCGCATGCCCTCTATGATGCCCAGCCACTGCGGGCACATGCACTCCTTGTCGAAGAGCAGGCCCGAGCTCAACAGGAGCTCGACGCACTTGGACAGCTTGTCGCCAATGTCGATCGGCAACTCCTGTCCGCGCAGCTCCGACAGGGCGTGGAAGACGTTCACGCCGAGACCCTCGCAAGCATTTGCCAAGAACTTGTCCATCGAGTCACGGAGAGCGGCAAACTTCAAGTCAGCGGTGAAGTTGCCCCGAGCAGTCTTGAATGTCATAAGGGCGACCTTGATCGACTCCGACTGCGCGCAAACCCTTGAGCACAACGAGATGACCTCCGCAAACGCCGTGAAGAGAACCATGATCCGATCTCGCTCCTCAGCGTCAGTCTGGGGGATGTCTCTCGCCATGCCGACCAGCCGCCTTGACGCGTCCACGACTTTGGCGACAACTTCACCCTCATATTTCCGAGCGGCCCCAGTGCCATCCATCTCAACCTCGATCTTCGGCACCATGTCGACGAGCTTCAGCAGCTTCGCGATCTCGGCCGTTGAGATCTCCTTGCGGACGGCGTTCAACTCGCCGATGTGCTGGCTGGTACGTGTTCCTTCATCTTCTTGGCATTATTCGCCCCCTTCTCGAGCTTGGAACCCCAGTAGAGAGACGAGGCCAATGCAGCACCCGTGACCGAGAAGATCGTGGGATGTCTGCTCTGGTGCCTCTGCGACTCCAGCTCGAGAACGTCATCGAAGACCCCGTGCATGTCCTCCTGCAGGGCGCTGCCCATGTCGTCAAGGAACACAACGACACTCGCCACCCTCTTGATGGCAACAAGGGTTTCACAGCGAGCCCTGGAAATGATCGCATCCTCTTCTGGTAACTCCCACGCCTTGAGCAGAGAACTACATAACTCCACGGCAAGGGCCGCCTTCGTCTCGTCAGCGAGGAACAAGGTAGCGATCCTGTCCACCACGTAGTTCAAGAAGTACTCGTTGCACTGCGAGTCGCTCATATCAACAGCCCCCAGGCAGGGCTTGGCATGGTCGAACTTTTCGTCGGTTGTACGCCACAGGCGGAGCAGGCTCATGATGTCACCAATGTAACGCGCTGTATCAGAAGATTCAATGGGGGCATCCCAGGCTCGACTGTAGTGGACGTGCAGGAAGTTCAGCTGACAAGCTGGGGTCAGCGAGTACCCCGACTTCCGGATCGCTCTACCGATCTCGTCCATGCGTGTTGGCGTGGCTTCCATCAGATGGTGGGTCCACGTATCCTTCGCCGCATCGATGAGCTTCCAATGGTTCTCGATCTGGTTGAGCTCGGATGTGCTGACCTTGCGCTTGAGTATATCGAGCTGGTTCCTCTCCCTCTGCTTGCCGTCTCCGAGCTGGACTTCCTCCAGCGGGCTGCGCTCAATCCAATGTTGCACGGTGCCTGTTGGAGACTTCACGACCTGCAGGTGCTCGACCTTCCTCGGCTTGGTAAGCGTGGGCCAGTGCATGGCCGCCAAGCTATCGTTCTTGCTCTCCGTGAGTGCGATCGCAAGCTCAGCTTGGGAGTCCGTGCCCATGCTCTCGGAAGCCGTTTGCCCACCGATGAACTCGACCGAGTCGCCGCTGTCCGTGCCAGTGAACGGGACGATCTCAGTCACTCCGGAAGCTGGCTGGCCCGAAGCCGAAGGAGGAGTTGCAACGATCTTCTGCTTGGTAGCCGCTGGAGACACCATCGGATTGTTGCGGTCTGGAGGCGGCGCGAAGCCAGGCTGAACCGAATCGTCGTCCAAGCAGTGCAGTCGGCACCAGCTACCCACGCCACTCGATGCTGCATCGGCCTTGCGCATCGCCCCCAAGATCATAGACCCCTGGCTGGCGAACTTCCTGGGGCAAGGCTTCGCGATGTCAGCGTTGAGTGCCGAGCTCTGCTTGGTGAACACCAAGAGCCGAGGGAACTTGCGAGTAGCAAAAGGGTAACGCGTCTCAATGTTGCCAGTGGGGGCCTTTCGTTTGATTGGTTTCAGCTTGTTCTGGGCTGGGGTCTTGCCCGTGATCGACGCGACGTCCGTGTAGGACAAGAGGTCGAACTCGTCTTGAATCCAAGTGCCAATCTCCTCGTGCTGGTAAGCGGCCACGTTTAACGTCTCCTCATCCTCGCCGCCATTCGCCTCGTCCGCGTCCGCGTCGCCGTTGATGGCGTCGGAGATCTCCGTGGCCTTGGCTTCGTCGCCCTGCATCTCCCTCGCCACGTCCTCGAAAGAGACGTTCGGAAGGCTCGCCGCGAACCAGTCGCGACAGCTCTCGCAGAAGTGGACGGCGCAGTAGCTGCCCTCCTGCGGCGCGACGATCTCCAAGCCAGCGTCCTGGTGGCAATCGGATGTTCTCAGGCAGCCTTCCCCCGTCGGTTGCCTCGACCTCCCCCTCCCCCTAGGCCCTAACACCTAACAGTCTAACACTCGAAAGGGTTCACACACAGGCAAGCGCCACCTAGCGGCCATAGCGTTCGCTGCCGCTTGTGGTCAACAACTTGCACGCGTCACCCACCCTCGAATGGTGAATGGCATTCGCAAGTGTTTGACCAACCACTGATCGCTGCCGCTTTGCCAGCGGCAAGCGACCAGCGCAACCAATCGGATGAGGAGGCGCACGGACCACCAAGGGAACACGAATAATTGATAAGAGACGTGGGTTGCAACGATGCCCGTGGAGTCCTTGCCACCTGATCTGCAGGCCAAGCACACGGTGTACCTCGCCTTCTTCTTGTCAGGGCCAGTCTGCGCGTTCCCCGCGGCAGTGTCACCCGTCCCAGGCGCCGATTTGGCAGGGCCCTTCATCGGCATCATCTTGGCCATCTCGCGACTAGAAATGGTAAAGTAAAATCGTGCCCACTGGAAGGAAACACAAAATGCGAGATGATGTGAAAGAGACTCGCTTGCAACTCTCGGCCAAAAATGGCTGAATCCAGCGGGGGCGGTAGCGGGCGGAAGAATTGCCGGCGCCGGCATCCACATCACGAGGCGTCCATAGAAAGAACTCACGGCTATCCACAACATGTTCGTTATGTTGACAGGCTGGCATTTACTTGATGTTGCGCATTGAACTGGGCCCCTGTTGGGTATCCAAGGCCCCCCCGTTCTGGAGCCCCTGCGAGCCCTGCAGGGTCTCCTCGTGGCCGACGAGGCGCAGCGAACGCAATAATATTTCATCCCCGCACCTAAGGCACCTCAGCCAAACGTGGGTGGCGAAGCCTTTTGGATATAACCTTCCTGTGGGATTACAAGTGTGTTGGGGTCCTACAGCGAGCTATGCGCACCATGTTCCTGTCTTGTGCTGTCATTCAGGGAACCCCCCACCCAGCCCACCCCACGGCCATCAAAACACACACACACACACCACCACCACCACCACCACAAAAAAAAAACAACCTCACCCTTCGTTCGTTCATCCGCGCAGGCAGTACCGTTGTATGATATGGCACGAACATCTTCACAACAATTCAACTGACAACTACTTGGGGGGGGGGGGGTATCTGATAAACCACCCTCTTCCACGGTGCAACCTTGGGGGGGGGAGCGTTTGACAAACCCCATTCGTTTCGCAGCATACTGAGCCAAGAGCCGTTGGCGAAAATGTGCAAGCTTGGGGGGGGGGGGTATTTGACAACCCCCCTTACGGTGCAACCTCGGGGGGGTAGATATCGGGCAAACCCCATTCGTCCCACAACGTCTTGAGCCACGAGCCGCTGGCATAAAGGCGCAATATTGGAGGGGGATGGGGCATTTGACAACCTCCACCATGTAATGTGTTTTTTTGTGTGCATTTGGCAAGCATTATGAAACCAGAGTCGCTGGCAGACAAATGCAGTATTGGGGGGAGGTATTTGACAAACCCCACTCTGTAAGGTGCAACCTTGGGGGGAGGGGGGCATTGGACAAATCCCACTCGTTGCACAGCAGATTGGGCCAAGAGCCATTGTCCGAGAAAGTCAATCTTGGGTGGGGAACCAGGCTAACGGGGGGGGGGAGGGGGAGGGCAGATTAGCCCGTTCCCCGCCGCCAAACCCACACTGCTCACCCATCGTCTTTCCATGGGCAACCTGGAGCCCTAGAGCAAGGAGACGCTGCATCATAGCAGGGGAGACTTGGTCACGATGGAACTCGATCCCATGATGGTCCCTCCGCGCGGTGGCCGACAACCTCCCAACGGGCACGCTCGAGGCACACTGCCCCCCATCAAACACCAAGCAGTCCATTCGTAAACTCGCTCGCGCCGATGGTTCTGCTGGTGGCAGAGGAATTCAGCCGCAATGCTATTTGGCGTTCGGCTGCCCTCTGGGCGGCATTCGCAAGACCCCGCGGTGCCACCATCGACTGAAGCCTGTCCGTCTCATGGGCACTTGGCACCGCCCTGTCCCATCCTACGCGCACTTGGGTCGACGAGCTGTTCGTGTTGTCCAGCATGCACGGGGGGGGGGCCTTTGACATCGGCGACGTGGTTCTTCCGTTTCAATCGCAGGTTGTGGGGCAGTCGTTGTGCCCCCGTCTGCGTTTCGTGCATTTGATGAGGGGCATCTGCGGATGTGTGTATATGTGTGTGTGTGTGTGCGTGTGTGTGTGTGTGTGTGTGTGTGTGTGTCCGCGTGCGTGTGCGTGCGTGTGCGTGCGTGCGTGTGTGTGCGTGTGTTGTGGCGGTGGAAGAATGCGTGCGTGCGTGTGCACGTGCGTGCGCGTGTGCGCGTGCGTGCGTGTGGTGGATGGGGTGGGGCGGGGTGGGGTGGGCGAGGGGGTGGCCCGTGGCGCGGGGGGGGGGCTTGGCCATAGGGTCCGATATCATGCTTGTCGCACGGTTGGTGTCAAGGCTTCGCGCTGGCTTTGTTGCGGAGGGCGCGCGTTCTCTGGGGCCGAGTCGCGTGCGCGATGCCCTCGGGTCGTTGCAGGCGCAACACGGGCGTTGCGTGCGCCAGAGAAGCGCAGTCCCCCCATGTTGCGCGACAGGGGGCTTCGCGCCATACGGGGGGGGGGGGTACGTTGCCAACATGCTGGCCTGGGGCGCACGGGCGGGGGTGGGGGTTGTGGGGCGGGGTGGGGTGGAATAGGGCGTGGCTCGGGGTGCGGCAGGGGAAGGCAGGGGGGGCGCGACGGGTTGGGGGGAGGGCAGTTTGCCGACATCACCCTGGGGTGGGAGGTGGGTGGGTGGCGGGCGCAGGAAGCAGGGGGGGGGGGGGTACATTTGGCCCGACAGGGTGTCATGTGCCAAAGGGGGGGGGGGGCATTTGGCCGACATCTGGCCTGGGGAAAATGCTAGGGGCAGGGGGGGGGACATTTGGCAGACATTTGGCAGGGGGGTCAGACATTTGGAAGACATTTGGAAAACATTTGGAAACCATTGGGAAAACCCGCCGCAGACGGGAGGGTAGCGACCAAATCCCCCCCCACACATTTGGAACGACACCCCCCCTGCGGGCAAAATGTCTGCAGGAACCTGTGGCGCCCACCCACCTCCGAGCAAAATGCCTGGTTGACAATGTGGCAAGCCACCCTCCCGCCGCCCCCCTGCAAAGTATGGGTTGAAGGCTTCGAGGAGCCCAGCCCTCTCCCCCCCTCCCCCACCCCACGCCGCCCGCCAAACTGTCAGACGGGTGGCGTGGCCACGACGCCCGCGGCGTACAGGGCGCGGACAGGATGACGATTGGGCGCAACGGAAGGCGGGGGGATGACGACGAGCATGGGGAGGACAACGATTGTTGTTGCATGACGTCTTTTTGGGCGCCTCGGAACATATTGCGCCTCTCGCAGCCTCTTGGAGCCCATTCATGGCCACTTGGGACGTGGACGGGAGGGGAGAAGAGCGTGCTTGGGATCTTATGTTATAAAGGTGGGGGGGGAGGGTGGCGGAGAGGGAATCATGGGATCTACCATTGGGTGCCCAGGTGGAAATACTGGCATTGGCCTATCCAGGAGCTATCTTGCTTACACCTCGGGGCCGATTGGGGGCATCTTGAGCCGTCTCTGTGCGCGGGTGGAGTTGGGCTCTTGGGCCATCTTGAGGCTCTAGTGGGGGCATTTGGGCCTAGTTGCCTAGCTTGCGGTGGCCGTTGGGGCCTCTAGGGGCTGAGTGCCTCAAACAGCGAGGGTGTTGAACTCTGCGTCAGAAGGGTTGGGTACCGATTGCGCGTCCATCTGGAAGCTGATTGGGCTGTCATCGTCAAGCATATTCAACGGCCAACTCACCCTACCGATATCAAGCTGACGCGTGAGGGATCGCCCACTCGGGAAGGGCAATAAACCTCCTCCCCGAATCGCTGGCTTCTGCCACGCTGTGCATCTCAACGGACGGCGGTGGGCATCTTGCTAAAGGTGAGTTCCGAACTGCCTCGCAGGGGCGCAGCGAAGATCCGATACTCTGACACAACATACGTCCTCCTCGTCCTTACCTATCACATCCCTCTCTCCTGCTCCCCCCTCATCTCGCTCCCCTTCCTGCCTCGCTTGCTCGTTTACTCGATCCCTCACCCCTCCTGCCTCTCATCATCAACGATGATCTGTATTCCCTCCACCCCCTCTGGTATTCCTACCCTCACCCAACCGCTCACATGACGTCTCGGTCAATCCCCGTCACCACGAAAATCACATCACGCATCAATCACACGGCACGTGATCACTTTTGTTGCCTAAGGGGGGGCTTCGTGCTCCGATAGCTCATCCACAGAGCGCTTTGGGCGCTCGCAGCTGAGCAAGAGCCTGCCTGCTGCAGTACGTTTCAAGTATTCTCGAGAAGCCGATCGCTGGGCGAGAGTCGGCTTGGAGCTTGCATGCTTATCGCTGTGCTGCCCGTGGAGCACCCACGCATGCAGCCAAGCGGCTGGGCGCCCCCTTTGGGGGCGACTAACCTCAGAAGGGCCGAGTGGTGGGTTCCTAGTGCGGGTAACCCTGCACCTGCAACTGTGTTCAGCATTGCCACAGGTGGCCTCGAATGTATTTGACGATTTGTAAAAGGAAAGCTTGGCCCTGGGCAAGTCTGGGAACCACAAGGCTACAACATCTGGCAACAACTCAAAGGGGGTTAGGCCATCGCCTGGCGCTACAGGCGGTGGAGGTGGAGGCGGGGGTGCAGCCTCCTCCTCTGGCTGCTCTGGCGGCGGCACGGGCTGCGGCCCAGGCAGCGGGCCTGGGGCGTCGTCGCCAGGTGGCTCGCCGAAAACGTCGAGCAAGCCGTCGCCCTCGCCGGGCTCGGCGATGCCGAAGTCGACCCCCTCGTCCTCATGCGGGTCTGGGTCGGCCAGCTCCGCGCCCACTCCGTGGGCCCCGTCCACGACGTCATCCTCGCGGAGGCGGGGGGGCGTCAGAGAAGTTGGACGGGGGCG